GACCCTCCTCTTCTGCTTCGCCGCCGTCGCCGCCGCCGCCGCCACAGTCGTCGTCGTTGTCGTCGCCGTCGCCGTCGCCGTCGCCGTCGCCGTCGTCGTCGCCGTCTCCGTCGCCGTCGCCGTCTCCGTCGCCGTCGCCGTCGCCATCGCCGTCGTGGTCTCCATTCATGTGCCGTTGAGGCCCCATCAAGTTCTAGGATGGGTGGGGCGGAGTCTTTGAGGATGTTCGTCACGTGAAGCGCTGCTCCTAGGCTGAGCCATCTCGTGGCTATATTGGAGCAGTTTTTGGTGTGATATGGAAGATTATCGCTGATCATGCTTTCTCGCACTCTGCGCGGCAGAGATCGTAGCTCAGTTAGCCAAGGGCCCTATTTTGAGAGAAAACGGTTGCGGCAGAGCGGGCATGAGAGACAGAGCGGAAGCGAGGCGTCAGAGGGCGAGTCTTCTGGAATCACACTCCTCCTGCACGGTGCGCGGGCGCACGAGGCTGGGGCGCCAGAGCAGCGGGGCATATAAGCCTGGCTCTTCACTAAGCGCAGTGCCAGGCGTGTTGGCAGAAGGCGAGCAAACAGCTCGACACGGCTTGCATTTGCAGGCAGCTCCTTGGGCACTTAAGCGGATGCGCTACACGCGACCTGCAGGATATTCTCAGCCCTCAGCGCCGCCGGCGCTCTTATCAAAACCAAGAAAGGCTAGCAATAACAAGGGTTCGATCGCGAAGCGACCCCCCCCAAAACAAATGTCTGACCGATGGGTGTGATCGTCATCGCATCTTTGAAACTTGTGCGCATTGAATGAAGCTTCTCTAAATGCGGATTACGTGTAAATCTTTAGCCAGGTGTCAAAACAGAGCAGCAATTCGGATTTACATAAATCTCTAGCCGGGTGTGAAAACAAAGCAGCAATGCGGATTTATGTGTAAGTAGCCGGGTGAGAAAACTGAGCAGCATAATGCGGACTTGCGTGGGCGGGGTCGCAATAGGCGACCGTCTATAGCAACAGCAGAACATTTGCTGGTTCGACTGGCCAACCTGCCGTCCGGACACCAAGCGGGGTTCATCTTTCCTTCTTGGGCTTCGTCGGTTTGTCCATCAGGTCAGGTCCGCGCCAGCAGTGCCTGCCAGTGAGCCTCCTCCAATGGCCCATGAGATCATTCATCAAGCCTTCGGGGAAGTTCGTGAAATCGGGACTGCTGTGCCTGTAGAACCGGAGAAGCCATGACGAGTGCTTCTTGCAGGTCTTGCAGGTAATGTAGACGCTATGCCATGCGGGTTATGCTCGATTCTGAAATCATGGCGGGGGACGGCGGTCACACAGTTGAGCATCTCGTTCGACGATACCGTAGGTGAGGAAACGTTCCACGAAATCAAACTCGCAGATACTGAACTCGATGAGCTCGATACGGTGACTATGCTTGGTGAGGTAGGGGCTGAACCCGAACTCTGAGATCTCGCTGACCTCGATCGTTCTGATGTTGCGGTAGGTGGTGCGCTGGCAGGCGGTGGTTCTGGCGGCAGCAGTGGCGGCGGTGGTGCTGCTATCGGCGGCTGCGATGGGTGGTGTCCGAAAGAAACGCCTGAAACCGATGCTGATGAACTCGATGCCTGCGCACTGGTGTGTCCATCCGAGGGGTACATCGTGATGTCGCCGTCGTAATCACGATCCTCGGGGATTGTAGCTGAAATGTTACGGCGCCGGCTAAGCATGCGGCCGTCCCAGCCGGGATGCTCGCCCATTGCATTCGCCTCGGCGACATGCTCCTTGGTGGCGATCATGCTGTTCTGCCTCATGATCGTCCAGAGTGTCACGAATATGCCGAAACCGATGGTCATGCCGAGGACCAGCGTGAACGTCAGCAGGCAGATATCGAAGTTGTAGTCCGGCACCGTCGGCGTAGGCGTGGGCTGTCCCTTGACCTTGCCGAGGCAGGTAAACAGGACTGAGACGAGCATGGCGGCGCGCGGTTGCCTGGTCCCATAGCTGTGCTTGCGGGCCCCGAAGAATGCCAGCAGGGCGCCGGCTTCCATCGCCTTGGTCAAGGCGTCCGCGACCATGGCCCAGGTCGGGAGTGCACTGTTGGGGTGCACGGCCTCCTTGATCATGGAGGCGACGATGCGGAATCGCTTGTCGGCGAGACCCTTGCTGTCACGAGACCCTTGCTGTCACTGTGCGTCACGAGACCCTTGCTGTCACTGTAGATCTCCCCAGGGCGCTTGTCGGCGAGGACGTCGATCTGCTTGGGCGCCATCTTGGGGTTGTAGGCCTCGGTCAGCAGCTGGCGGAAGGCGGAACCAGATGTAGGTCTCCGATCCCTCGAGGGTCGCGTAGCCCTCGTCAGCGAGGGTCGACTTCACCGACCTCTTGACCGTGCCCGAGTGCCAGGCCACGGGTAGGCAAAGGTCGTAGCGGCCGCCGACGACATCGCGCGGGCGGTGAGTGAGCCCCATCACCATGCCCCACTGGCTCTTGACCCCGTCCACGTTGGCGAACGCAGCATCGCTGAAGCACGCGGTGGTGGCCGCCATCAGATCCACGAGCCTGCGCTTCAACACGATCGCGAAGTTCGCGGTCGAGTGCACGTAGGCGACGGTCTTGTTCAGGGTCTTCGCGTCGGCCACGGTGGCGACGCAAGTGCGGCGGGCTGCAAAGCTTACCGGGCAGGCGATGTCCACCTGGGTCTGGACTGCAGACCATAGCAGCTGCCCGAGCGTGTGGCGGTAGCTCGTCACTTCGGTGCGGTGAGCCGATCCTCGACATTGCGGCCCTTCGGGGCCTTCAGGTCGATGTAGTCCACATGCGAGGCGGCGGTAGCCGGGGTCACCCGAATCTCGTCGTCGAGCTTGGTGATTGTACGTCCACAGTATTTGATGACCCCGTCGACCTGCTTGAGGTGTAGCTTCTTCCCCAGCGATGTAATGGTGGACTTCCACTTGGTGGAGTCTTTTCGCTGGGCGATCAGGAAGTCGTCCACGTGGGAATGGATAACCGCGGCGAGCCCACCTTCGTCGTATAAATAGTAAAGACCCTTCTCGAGCTTGCTCTGTACGAGGCCGTGTTCGGCGAAGACCTTCTGGGCGTAGAGGTGCCGCTGCCTCCCGGCGTCGCGCGCCCCGTAGATCGCGCCAGTGGCCATCGCGATCTCGCCAGGCTGCGCCCCCGGCGGCGGGTTCTTGGCCGGCATTCGCAGGAGCGGCAGCTTCTCGATGTTCGCCGATTGTAGGTAGGCCGTCATTGCGTCGTAGGACGAGATGTCCCCGTTCTTCTGGGCCGCGGCGGCCAGGGTAAGGTACAGCGCGTCCCTTGACCCCGTGGGCGCGTCCGCCCTGATCTGTGATTTGTCCTCCTGACAGCCCTGCGCGACCCGGCGGGCCTCCATGGCATTCTGGCCCTTGCTGGTCAGCGCCCAGCGTGCGCCCGCAGGGCGGATGCCAGGGTGGCGCCTCAGGAGCTCCTTCAGCTCCCTGGGCGGGGGCTTCTTGTAGGCGCCGACCTCCGTCCACTTGGGCCACTCGGTCTTCGTGGCGGCGTCCATGTTCTTCTTCTCGGAGGCGCTCAGGGTGTCGTACTTGAGTTCCTCGGCGGTCGCGTTGCCCGTGCGCAGAGCCTCGCGGAGTCGTGTGCTTGCGTAGAACTCGTCCGCGTGCTTTTCTGGAAGTAGTTGTCCACGTAGAGGTCGACCTTATTCGTGTCCTTCGGCCTCTTTGAGCACTTGGGCAAATCGTCCAGAAGGCCCCTGCGCTTGGCTGCGCGCTCGCGCGGGTCGGGCTCGCGGTCGCGTCGAAGAGCGTGCGGTGCGGATTCTTGTTGAAGCTGTCGCTGTGCCTTCGTGCCGCGCTGGGTTTCGGTGTCCAGTGGGCGCCTTGCCGCTGTCTCCTGTCGAGACTGCTCCTCCGCGGCCCTTTGCCGTTCCCGAATCGTGTCCGATCCGGAGCTATTGGACTTCCCGTCGTCCTCGGCGCCGTCGACCGGGCCCTGAGGTGCGGGTTCAGGATGTTGATGAACATCTGCGGCGGCAGGGGCAGTAGGATGGTCAGCGGCGGCAGCAGCGCCTGAGCCCATGGTGGGTGCCGCAGGGGGTGGCGCCGCCGGCGGCGGCTGCGCCGCGTCTCCTTCCGAAGGTATTCGGGCTGCCCCTCCACTGCCGCTTGCTCCTCCACTGGTTGTGAAATCACCGTCGCCTTGTTTGCGTGCCAGCCATTCGGCGTATTGATGGGCGCGTTGGCTCGCTGCGGTGTCTCCGATGTTTCCGAATTTGTGCGCCTGGATGGCTGGCTGCTGAACTGGTGCTGGTAGCGCTGGTGGTGGAGGCTGTTCTTCGCTGTGGGGTCGCCTCGAGGTGTAGGGCCCGAGAGGTCGAGGAAGGTGTCCTCGTCGTATCGTGGCGGTACAGGGCCATCGCGTCCTCCATCGTGGCCAGGCGGTGGGGGCCCACCACCTGCGCCACCGCCGCCTCCTCCAGAATCGGGAGGAGTTGCTGACCCTGAGGTCCCTGGCGGGGCGCCTGGTGGTGGCCCGGGCGGCTGGCTGCCGCGCAGCGCGTTCAGTGCTTGTCCCCGCGGCGCGAGCTCCGATGCCGTGGCGCGGCGTAGGTGTCCACGGTTGACCTTCACGGTCGCGGAGCGGTGGTTGATCCAGACGTCCGAGGCACCCTCGAACCCGATGATGACGCCGGGCCCGTGCCACTGCAAAGCCCATTCTCGCTTGGGCTTGCCGTTGCCCCTCCAGTAGGGCACCTGGTCGCCAGTCTGGTGGGCTTCGCTGGCGTGTTGAGCTCCATCTGCCCGAGACCGGGCCAGCAGCGCTCTCGAGAGGGACTGGTTGAATCTCAGCTGCTGCGTGGAGATCTGCGCGGCTTTCATGGTGGCGATCCTTTCTGAGAAAAGCTTGTCGGACACGACGCGCTCGTGCAGGGGAAGCCTGTCCGCGTTGTCCAGCAAGCAGTGGGGGGCCGTTGGCCTCGCCCGAGCACCCACTGCGACGGCGAGTAGCCCGTGGAATTG